GCGCCCGAAGATGTGATCGCAGCCAAGAGCTATCCATGCGCTCCATTATCATGCAGATATATACGCGTAACAATTCGGGAAGATGTACACGCAACGATCCTCCGTCTCGTCCCTTTCCCTATTTCTCTCTCCTAACGGAGAGAGCATTCCGTGCCTGTAGATTGAGTTCAAAGCGATACGTGCGACTCAGGGTAAGTAGAGAAAGGTGGAGAGAGGAGGAGGGAGGAGAGGAGAAATAGAGAGAGAGAGAAAGACGGAGAAGGCCGTATGCAACAAAAGGCAAGGAGGACCGCGGTGGTTGCGAGCGAATACAGAAGCGAGCCACGGAAGAAAGCAGAGGAAGAGGTTTCATAAATAAGTTGATAGTTCTATCGGGCACAGCGCGCGCGGTTACAAATTAGTACATCAGAGACGGTGTACGCGATCGGGCCGATATCTATCCGGTCCGCACAATGGTTAGTAAAGCAAACGTAAAGCCGAATTGCCGACCGCACGAGTACGGTAGACCACAGTAGCATAATAACCAAGAGTAATGCGTGAATTATTGACTGCTTCCTATCTTCCTACCACTAACTCCGCGCTGCTACGTATACGCGCTCTTGCCTCGCGTCGTTCTCGCGTGCACGCGTACACGCGTTCCCACTCCACCTTTTCCGCTTTCAGTATTAAATGGTTTCGTACACGTAGATTAGCTGCTGTCCACCGCACGAGCAGGACCGTACGTCACAAACCACCAAGGTGCCACGCGTGTACGAGCGTACGTGCATACGCAGGTGTCCGTGTGTTTTCGCACGGGGTTGTCACGGAAAACACGGCAACTCTTGCACACGCGTGGATCGTGTTATCGCGGCCGTTCGTTAAACGGATACATCAGCGAACGGTGCTCGGTGGAACGTGAACAGAGGTGAAGGATTTTCTAGAGCGCTAGAACGCGTGAATGAATTGGAAGCCACAAAAAATTCATGAATATTGTTAACCCTTTTGTTACTTGCCATTACGTCAACGCGAAAGGGATATTTAATTCTGCTACGGTTTTCGAATTTTCATATCTCAAGTCTCGTTTCATTTTTACGAATGAAAAGATTGCGTCAAGCACATATATGACGTTGATAGCGAACGTATAGAATTTACGTTCTGAGAAGAAATTTTGTCCGAACATCTAAAATTTCCAATCACCCACGAAACGTTTTTACAGCTATCGTCGGAAACGATCAATAAAGACTTTTGTACCTATTTACGATTACGCATAAGTTGCGAGTAATAAATCAAATTGAGGTTAACTGTTGAACAAGTCACACCACTGATCTATCTGCGTTTGTGATCCTAAATACTTGCACAGAAAGCGATTGGTCACTTGATGAACGTCTAGGGGTTGTTATTACGCAATATGAACTTTAGAGGAGAAAATAGAAAAAAGGAGAATAGGAAGAGTGAAGTGAATTTGAATTGCTAACCAAGCGATGTTGTAATCTTGCGTGATCTTCTATCCACTGACCTATTTGGTCAACACGTAGCATTATAAATAATTTCCTACAACATTAATTACGAATAATTTACATATAGTATGCGTGATACGCAAAACAAGACGGGGAAATTAAAATTTTATATTACATGTTGCAGGGTTTAATTAAAGTTTCTAAAATGAAGTTTTACTTTCATGAGCCGCCGTATATACTTTCAGTTATACCACAAACAAAAATCTCTAATTCGGTATATATTCGACGATATATATGGAATCTATCCAATAGACAAATATTTCAATTCCAACGTTGAAAGTTTCGACGTTGTATGACAGGCCTTCGAGGGATTCATTAAATTGAACTTCTCTAAACAAGACCTCTGTTGTTTCTACCGATGGAAAATACAAGATATCTTACAAACACAGTTAGACATTCTGTTTATAATATGACGAACGTTCCTGTTATTTGATATTGATGTCATTTTAATATATTCGTACGATAACTGGGAAAAAACTGGGAACAAATGCACGAATCTTTTAAAGATTCTACTAATTTCCATGTAATTTTGAAATCTCCATGTGTTTTTGTAAATTCAACGTATTATACTTATAATTCATTCGTGTATATTTATCACGATGTAATTATTCATATTTTACAGACATTATAAATATTTTATCAACATATATTTTAATAATGTTTTAGCAGAGGAAGAGCTGTGCGAATAATTTAAATATTAAAACGAAGTCAAGCTGAGATAATCCAAGTGGTACATTAGGAAATAATTGTTAATCTTAACATAACCTGAATCAAAAATCAAAATTCCCTACTTAAGTTACTTAAAAATGTAGCAGCATATTTAGTATTTGAAAAATTATTTAAAATCTATCATTAAAAATGACAGCTAGAAGACATTTCTTCTTATAATAAAATAAAACTTTCTATATACTTAAACACTGTTTTCCTAAGAAGTCACAGAGAATCGTAAGCAAAGTAAAATGTAACTTATGATTGTTAAATGCTGCAACTTTTGTTCAGATCTTTTGTAGGAAACTCAGAAACTCACGCACGTAACGCAAATTATCACAGCTGCTTAGAAGACGAGCAGCTGTATCTCTTCTTTTGGCTGTAAATTTTCTTGTTTCGTAAACTTTTGATGAGTATTTATAATTCTAAATATTGTTCCGCTAGACAGGGCTAAACTTCGAGTGACAAAAGTTAGTTAGATCTAATATCACGTACGATGTAAAACAGTAATAGTAAAACATCTATGAAACTCATAAGAATAACAAATTATTTTTCACTGGCGCTACGAATAAGGTTCACGTGTTATTGGCAAATTATTTAGAAATGCATATTTCTATCTTTAGGCTTTAGGAACATCTAAATAGGTTTTAGCAGGACCGGTGAGAAGGTATTTTTATACTAACGATAAATAATAAATTCGGATGTTATAATAGATCGTTTTAACGTTCATTTGTTGGTGATTAATATTTTTGTAAATATTCAAGTAATACAAGATTGGTATATTTGAAAAAAAAACTTTCATTAAAATATAAAGCCTCTGTTTCTGTTGTAGGTAATTTTATTTGTCACTAAAAAGACCATTATAATTTTGCATTAAATTAATGGAAACGTTAAAATGAAGAAATATGTGACTGGTATGTGCAGACAACTGTTAATTATTTCGAATTCGGTCCGCATTTCAAGGTGGATGGCGCACGGCAACAAAGGATATGCGTCTTTTTTTCCTTTCGCACCAAAAAATTTACGCTACCACAGGTAACGTCACCGAAATGAATGCACACATGGAAATAAAACCGCGTGTTTCCTGGCTGTTAATGACGTATATTCGAATTTTCGTAGCACAAATTGAAATTTATTACTCAGGAAAGGATACACAAACAAAGAGAATCTTTTTCATTTGCGTCATGCACGCACACGCAATTCCCGATTCTTCCTGCAGGCATTTACGAAAATCCTCAATTTACAAATCTTCAACACCAGGATTTACAAATTGCTGATGCGTGAAACGATCGTACAATTGTTTACCTGGTCGAGTGATTCCCCATGACCCAGACTTTCTCTATAAACTACACAAAATACAGAGTGATGAAAAAACCAAATACACGATGCACACATACATTCGTCCAATCGAATTGGCTGTAAAAAGAGAAGGAAGAAAATGAAAAAAAAAGAAAAAAATTAAAAGCCAAAACTAAAACTCGTTTTCCGAAAAACAAAGTGCGAAACTCAATGTTCTCGGAACAGGAAGTTTCACTCGAAAATGTAACGCAAACATCTTCAACAACAGTATTCCAATTTCGAATATTCTGTTTTCAAAGTTATTTCACTAAAATCTTGCTAAATTTTATCGCGTACTTTTTTTCGTTCCTCGTAAACAAGTTATCAAATTTGCTCGAAGAAGAGCTCATCGTTTTTCCCTGAGCAACTGAAAAGTGTAATTTAATGGCCGGCTATAAATTCTTATATACATCATTGCGGCTTGTATAGTCACGCGGACATGCTGTCCCCGTTAGTCTTGCGCTTGACATATGTGTATACGCGATAGAGGCATGAACTTCCTATACCTAGTACAAGCTGGGTTGCAGCCGATGTCGCCTATCAGCTCGATGGAGGAGTCATCGATCAAACCTAAGCGAGCGTGGTAACGACGGTGAAACTTGTGAGACAATATCCTGCTTCGAGGTGGATAACTCGTTAAAGGAGCACGCTAATGGACAGAGCAGCTGGCGACTATACATGTATAATTGGCCGAAGATTCGCTGTTCGTGTTCATTTATAATATCATTATAGATATGAACTTCGTCCTTTGACGTCTGTAAACGAAACACATAATGCATCGTGTGGCTTTCATTCACGAATACGGAACTAAGAATATAGAATCAAACAGATGAATAATAATTCGAAATCTATTAATTTATAAAATACTAAATACCGAGAGTTGAAGAAAGAAAAAACGAAAATCTAGCACGGAAATCGATACTTTTAACGGTCGAAATATGACTATAGACCTGAGGTTCGTTAAAAATTTCTCAAATTAGGCAGACAATACATCCTCGTACACAATAAATGAAGAGATGTATAATATACTCGCAATATATATATATATAAGTAACTTTAATCGAGTACATTTAATCTGTCCCGTATACAATTTTCTTCAAATTAATATTTTCTAAATTTTGTATTTCTAAATATGTATTTTTACACTTATTATGCTATTAGATGTATCTTTGACTTTTTACAAAATTAGACATCTATTTCTGAAAGGATTGATATCTAAAAAGCTATTCTTCTTTCAATCAACTTAGTCACCAATTGCAAAGTGTGTCATTAAAACAAAGAGATGAAGAAAAATGGAATTTTTTACATGTATTCTCCATTTACTGGCCCTGTTTCTTCATATCGCCTACACTACTAAATCGTCCAATTTAATAAATTGCAACGAACGTTGGTTTAATGAAAAACAGATTAGAATCCACGTCGAAAGAAAACGCTTCTAGCGACTGTTTAGAAACTGCCCTAACTCCTGACAGTGCTAACGCACCATCACTTTGATGTAGCATCTGAGATGGTAGGGTACGAGGA